GAGAAACATGTTGGGTGAGTACTTTTGAGGGAGCTGAACTGTGTCTGCTTTTCTCTCTGCCACAGAAAAAGAAGAGAATTGTGCTCATTCACCAACTGTGTAATTCAAAGCAGTTCTGCCCAATAGGGTCTGGATTCTGCATTAGTGTTCTTCCTTTCTGGTAGGACCCAAGAGGGCAGTGAATAGGAGAGAAGACCAGGCTTATGAATGTCTAAACCCAAGGGCTAGTGTCCTTATTCACCACTGTAACCAAGTGATCCTAACCACCTGTAGTGACTCCTACAAATGGACATTAGGCTGGACAGAGTATCAAAAAGCAATGCTCTGAAGGCATGAGACAAGGAGAGATTCAAGAGGTAGATGACAGAGCAAAGGAAGGACATGAAATGACTTTGTGATTTTTATGGAGCTTTTTGGCCAAAGGCTAGACTAAAATTTGCACTCCACATGGCAGCTAAAATTCCACTAGAAACTCCAAAACCTTTCTGGTCTGAAAAACCAAGGGATTGAGTTTGGTGAAACCACACCTTCTGGAATATGAAGGGAGAAACCCAAAACGGAAAGAACCAGAAACCTTCAAATTCTATGTATAAACTCTGGCTATATCTCTGGATGAACTGCACATCATGCACGACTATCAGACTACTGGAAAGTTTCAGTTGTGGGCCAAGAAACAGAGCCTGCAGTTTGATTCTAGCCAATTCCATTCTCTTCTAGAGAAGATTAACAAAAGTATTCCTCAAGATATAACATAATCCAGTGTTCCCAACACAATGTTCACAAAGCCAAAGACACAATAAAAACCCATTGCACATGTGAGTAACCAGCATTACTGACCTAAAGGCCAAGGTCTCTTGCTTTAGGAGAGGTGGTGGGGCAGTGGTTCTCAAAGCAGGGCTCCCTAGGACCCTTTCAGGTTCCATGAGGTTAAACTATTTTTTTTTTTTTTTTTTTTTGGTATTGGGGATTGAACTTGGGTCCTTGTGCTTGCGAGGCAGGTGGTGGAGCCACTGAGCTAAATCCCTAGCCCAAGGTTAAACTATTTTTATAATAATCCTAAGATATTATTTACCTTTTTCATTCTCACATCCTCTCACAAGCATACAGTGAAGTTTTCTAGAAAATCTATGACAAGTGATATGAAAACAGAATGGATGGTAAAATAATATGAGAATTCAATTGTATTCTATAAAGATAGACATTGAAGAAGTTTTCAAAATTGTGAAATAATGTCACTGTTCTTACTGTTGTTACTAACTGGTAAAATCTAGTTATTTTTCATTGAATGATGAGCTTATTTTAAATAAACTGATAATTTTAAAAATCACTTAAGATTTCATTTGTAACGTGATAAATATTGCTAAATTTTACCCACATAAACAAAAACTTTTTGGGGTCTTAGTTAAACTTTGAGAGGGTAAGTGGTTCTGAGGCCATAGCTAGTGTGAGGCAGTTTTCTTCAAGATCTGGTATGCATCAGGGCCACCTGGGGAACTTGTCCAAATAGATTTCTAGGTCTCTCTCACAATTTCTGATCTAGGAGATCTGCGGTAGAGCCTAAAAATTAGTATCTAACAATTTCCCAACTAGTGCTGCTGAAGGGCTCACTCTGGTGGAAGGGACGCTTGGGGGTGCAGACCAAATACTCCTCCAGGGCCTCAGCATTTATTTTCCAGCTGCCAGTAGTATTGTCTGTTAGAGGGGTCATAGCTGAGTTCCTCCTTAGCCACTGCTTTGTCCAATGCTATCTCCTCCTCAGAGACAGCCCACAGCCAGTGACCAGAGACATGGGCATAGAAAAACCTGGCCACTTTATGTCAATGCAGGATGACTCCAAAAAAAACCCTCTCAGCTTTGGAGCTACCTATGGGACCAACTAGGATCTTCATTACAGCTGTATACCAGCTCAACTTCTGCCCAGTCCCGCTTCCTTCACTCATTCACAAGTGGTGTTACCAATAAGAATCCATAAGAAACACAGAATTCTCTGTCAGAGGCCTCTGACCCTAGGGAACCTAACCTGTATTAAGTGGTGAAAGGATGAGCCCGCTTTGTAGCCTCAGAAGTCCTGTCTTTCTGACAGGCAGAGTGGCTGTTCTTCTATGGCCATTCCTCTTTGATACTGCACATGTCTAGAAAAGTTCAAAGCTCAAGCCTCCAGGAGTGGAATGCAGATTATCTACGAAATGTGCCCATTGATGTGTACATTCCTGGGAAGACGGTCCAGGGCAGTGATCTGAGCTAGTCATCCTGTCAGTGGTGTGCTGGATCAACTCACACCAGCTCAGCAGAGCTGACTGTCATGTATTTAGGAATTTATTAAGCTGGTTGTTAAACACAGCTTTACAGATGGTTCCCAACTTATGATGTTTCAACTAAGGATATTTTACTTTACAATAGTGCAAAAGTAATATACATTTGGTAGAAACTGTACAATGAATATTGAATTTTTATCTTTACCTGGCTAGCAATATATGGTATGATATTTTTGCTTTGCTGGGCAGAAGCAGTGAACCACAGCTCCCAGTGAGCCACAAGACCAGCAGGGCAAACAACCAATACTTTATCATGTACTGTGTTGTCAAGCTACTATGTTATATAGATTTGGAGTATTAAATGTACTTTGGACTTAACATATATTTTCCACCTTGGATGGGTTTATTGAGAGGGCTAACCCCATTGTAAGCCAAAGAACAACTATATATAAATTTCTGAATTAAATATATAACCATAATAAATATACCTTGAGTATTACATTAAACAAATTATATTTTTAAAAGGTGATATATACTCAAAAAATGTCATTTGCTAATTATTATACATTTAACTATTGCCAATGTTCTTAAGGTAACAGACATCTATCACATCTTTATACCAAAAATGCTATATACAGCATACTACACAGATACAAAAGATGTCACCAATCTAAGAACCTGGATAATAAGAAACTTAGCTGAATAACTTGAAAAAAGGTGAAGCCAGGTGGTCAGGAGATAAAAGTTGCTAAACTCTGTGGGAAATAGCCAATAAGGGGCGGTGTTGATATCTTCTGTTCCAGCTCATACCCTGCCCATTTCATTCTTAACCCAGGAGACCGTCAGAGGCTGTTTCATTTCTCTCAGCTCTTTGGTGACGGCAACTCTAGCCTTCCCCACTAGAATTCCCCAGTGGGATTCTAACATTATTTATTCATTTGGTCCTATCTATTCATCTTTTCTAATTTTGACTCTTGCTGAGCATTGGAATAAAGAAGACACTCCCCTGCCCTGGAGTGGTTCAAGCCTATCTAAGACTATGGGCATGTATACAAAGAATAAAACACAGTTACATCCACATCTAAGTAGGAATGTCTATTGAACACGACTCCTGGAAGTATCAGGTGACTAACTGAGCAGGAGGAGAAATTTCAAACAAGTGGAGACACAGAAGTGAGGCTTTACAGAACAGCTGGGATCTGCCAGGTAGGCAAAGATGCCAATTGAAAAGAACACTATGTGCAAAGGCATAAAGGCAGTACAGGAAATGGCCTTTCATTTTGGGTCATGGGGATTATGCAGAGCTGCCCACATTCTCCCCTGGTTCCTAAAGATCACATGTTGTTCTATCAGCATTAAGTTTGCTGGCATCACAGAAAGGCCAGCTGGCTTACATGGGAATCACAGCCCTGACTAAGACTGTGATTCAGGCTGTTGTAATCCCCTGAGCTGGACGTTATTTCTGTATTTGTGTGCTCTTGCAGCTTTGTATGATGATTCAAAAGTTTTATGATTAATCTCATATTGAAAGGGACATCTGTAGAACTGAGTTCTCTGAAAGTCTTTCAAGAATTTATCTCACTACTTGTTTGGGACAGTTTCATTAAACCTGCAGGGTCAAATGTACTAAGAAGGCACTGGTCGATCTGTAAAATTGCTGCCTGATTCTAGGATTACATCCAAAGTAGAGATTGATCTTCATCATGGAATAATTGATTTGGATGAACTAAAATCCTGGCAAAGTTCCTAGGAACTGCACAAGCCTTTGATAAAAAGTTCTTCTATTTCCCATATGGCACAAAAGGAGGTTGCAATGGTATTGAAATCAGGACATTGCGCAGGTCCCTCCAGACTCGCTTCCAGCTTTTTTCTGGGACCAGGAGGCTTCAGTGAGCAGCCAAAAGCAATGAGGAGGAAGCATGCTGCAGCCAAATGAGCATGCTGTCTTAGCTGTTACATCACTGGGGATGGCTCATAGGTTCCAAATTGGCAGGGCTTCAGCTCTTCAGATGTATTAGATCATGATGAATCTGCTTGCATGTCTATCTCCCTAGTAGGATTGCCAGCTCCTTGGGAGCAAAGATTGGGTTTGACTTATCTTTGGGTCCCAAGTATTGGAGGTTGGATGGGCACATGGATAGATAGATTTATGAGTGTATGAGCAATCTTGCCCTATAAGAACTTGCAGTGAAAAATTTAAAGAACTTAGAATATGTGTATTGAACACATATGTGCAAGGAGCTTTTCTAATTCTTGTTTATCAATTTTAAAATATAATCTTCAAAGCACTTCTATGAAATATATATTATTAGCATGCCTATTTTATAAATGAGAGCACTCTTATTTAGAAAAGATTAGTCACTTTCTTAACATCACAGGTAATAAGAGGAAGAGCCAAGATTAAAATTGATCCCATCTGACTCTAGTCTTAATTCTTAAGGACAAATGAGTAAGGAGGCAACCTAGAGCCACAGGTGTTGAGGGGAGGAAAGAAATGAATGGAGTAGACTGGGCAATGAGATAATGCTTTCTAGGGAAAATGAACTGGCAACTGAAGCCTTCAGGTTAGTTGTGATAAGATGGTGAACTGCAATAGGGAACAGAAAATGTTACGGGACTGAGGCCAGGGTGGGTGGAAACTTGTTGGGATTGCAATGATCTGTGCCGGGCAGTACAAAGATGAGAAAATGTTTAGAAAGGTACTTTGGGTCCAAATGTGGCTCTGAACCAACCTTCCTTCTTTACCTGTTCATTGGGCTGAAGAAAGAAGTCAGTAATGCACATTGCTTCCTCCATCAGTGAGTCTTGATTTTGCATGGCTAGCCCAGGATAACAAGCAAAGCAGAAATGTCCACATGCAGGCCAGGCTGGCAGGGAGTTATTTCTGTATCAGTGGCTGCTTGCTGCCTCCTCCCGTTGGCTGAACCAGCCTTGTTTGAAGTCTCCACAGAGGTTACCACTGGCATTGTAAGAGGCAGAGAAAACAGGCTGAATCAGAGGCAGATTTGCAAGTAAACAGAACCCCTTAAAACTTTTGCCAAGAGGATTTGAAGTACTTGGTGTTCAATTAGAAAATGTAATAGAAAAGGGCATGTGGAACATGCTACATGGCAAATGAAAGTTGTTCCATTACATGTGAAAATGGGCCACAGAGTGCTCCCTATTTCAGATTATGAGGTCAAGATTTCAAAAGATCATCAGCCAGGACTCTGAACACTCTCTGAAGGGGTGGAGAGAATCAATCATTATAATCATGGTCTACATGCCAGGCAACTTGCCAGGCACTCTGTATGTGTCATCTAATTAAATTCTTTGAACACTTCTATGAAGATAGATTCAGAAAGGTTAATTGACTTGCCTAAAATCATCCAGATGTTAAGTTTTTTAGTCCTATTTGAGAGCCAATTCTGTCAGGCTCTCAGTACTTTGCATTGCAAGTGTTTCTGAGAAAATATTCCACATATTGTCCTCCCAGGAGTACAATATGATTTACTCCAGTGAAAACCAGGTATTCCAACCATCAACCCTGTGAGAACACTCTAAATAATGCATAGTAAGGACATTAGAAAGGCTATTATACCAGTTATTAGAAGACTTCAGACACAGTTTCTGGGCTTTTTGATGAATACATGTATGACTCTCTTAGAGGAAATTCATACATAATAATATATAATACATTATATATAATAAATATAATAAGTATATATAAATAAATATAATAAAAATGTATATATGGACTGTCATAGTGAATAGCACTCGGTGGATGTGTAATAAATGCAACTTGCTATTATTTGAAGCACTAAATATTGCTTGAGGAGTTCTATAAATGGCTTCATGCTGTAAATCAAAATACTAAACAATTTCTAAAGTCCTTTTAAGTTCTAAAATTCTGATACATCCTGCCTTATCCATTCTTATCCTCAAAGTTTTCCTAGAAAGTTTTGAAATGTTCTAAAAGTGTAAAGCTCAGTCCTGTTTTGCCCTCTTTAGAAGTACCTTTGTTATTTACCTATGTGTTTTTACATAATAAGTATTATTCTACATAAACAAACAGCAGTCATGTTTTCTTCATTTAATTCATGTTCTGAGAATTTCACATTCTCAGAATTCTTCCTAAATACTACTATTAATGAGTGAAGAATAATATGTCCTTTGGATAGTTCTAAGATGTTGATCACTTGACATTTGTCTAAAAAATGTTTCAATTAATATCTGTGCAATAAATCAGAACATATAAAACTATTTTCTCAGGAGAGAGAATTTGAATGGCAGAAGACATTCCAGTGCTTTGTACATGTGATCCTAATTCTTACTTATGGGACTTTTTTTTTAAACAAATGAAGCTATATTTTCAAGTATTTTTTAAAATAGAGATAGATATGTGACATACATAAAACACATGTGTATTTGAGAATATTTTCTTATTGCTTTTACATATGAATTTTCAGGTTCTACTGTTTCCGCCTCAAAACTAGTGCTTTCTTATTATCTGTGATTTTGGACCACAGAGAAAAATTTAAGGGCCAATTAGATACATGTCTCTTTGTCAGTCATTTGCAAGTTCTAGAGTTTTCTTTTTATTTATAATTAAAATATCTTATTTGATCTTTTGATCAGATCCAGGTCATTTTCACTGATGCTATATGAGAATGTAGTGAGATTTTCTATCCCCAGTATCTTGCTGTTAAAGTCTCCCACTGAAAAAAAATAACTGCAGAACTTTATTCTATTATGTTCTTGATTACTGATTCAATATTAGTGACTCTAGATTTTTCCTTAGAAAATCTTGTAATTTTTAAGTGGACTGCCTACTTTTGTTTTGTCTCTATATAACTCCCATTTTATATATGCAATTCCATCAATTAAATATTCTAACATGTCTTTTATATCATGAAATTGATTTTTCTGCAGCTTATGATCTTTAATGACTCCAACATAGACTTAATACTCTATTTTTAGTTTATGAAATCTATTTTCTATCTATCCTCTCTTCCATCTTATTATCTTTTCATTTTAAATCACCCTAACCTTGTGGATTTCTGATTCATCAAAGCTATATCTTCTGGCATCTTACTAAGCATCCAAATAATTTTCTAAATTTTGTTCTGTAGTAAATCAACTTCAAACAGTTGCTGCTCCTCTGTGCCTTCTGAAAAATATAGCCCTTCACCAATCCTGTAGAATAGTCTGATAGATTCATGCAATTTTGTTTTGTGTGCTTGAATAAATAAACTTTATTCAGAGCCAGATATTATTATATGTGATGTGTTGTCTATTATTGATACCTTTGAACTCAAGTCAACTCATATTTCATAACCAAAGTGAAAAATGAAATGCACAATTCCCATCCCAACTTCTTTTTCCCACTGGGCATTCAGTGTGGGAAAATGCTTGTGTACACACACACACACACACACACACACACACACACACACCATATATCTTATTTGTTTCCTCAGAACTTATTTCTATAAACAATATTAAATTTATTATAAAAATGTGTGTGTGTGTAATGCACAGATGGAGTGAAGAATCAATACTTTGACAAAAAAATACCATTTATGTACTTGAGAACTATTTCTCTGTGCTTTTGGTTGTTTTTGAAGCTAGAAGCTAGTGAGGAATAAACTTCCTACTGATTTATTTTAGGATAAAGTTTTTAATACCTGAGTTGGTGGAAATATGAGAAAAAAATGTGTCTAGTGTAATATATGGTAAGATTTCATTTTAAGCCAGAATCAGCCTTCCAGGAACTAAATGTCTATCTGGGTTTCTCAAGTCATAGGGGCTATACCAATCCATTCTACACTGTATTTGGTTTTCTCAAAATTAGAATCAAATTTTATGGTATAACTCCCTTTTTCTACTTTCCCTCCTGATCACCTTCCTATCTTCTCCATTTTTCTTAGTAGCTTCTCTTTTATTTAAAATATTCATTTATTTCCTCTTAACCACCACCTTCTCAAATGTTCTTACTGGGACAATTCTGTGGGACAATGAAGGCATCTGAGTGGTGAAAGTAAAAGTTTTCTTCTATGTCTCTTACGTAGAAAACAGAAATTTTCAGTTTCTACTGCAGTGGATAGTTATGCTTAATTATTTTTATAGCATTTTCCACTAATGTGTTTAGGCTAAGTGATTACTGAAGATGTGATTGAAGCACTAGAAATGCCATTTGGGAGACAGGTGGTTTGTCTCAACACAAGAGTTCCATCCATCAACTGGAAAATGGAATCATGCCCATGTGGAACAGTAGATGTGTTAGATTCCACCTTGCATGTGCTATTGTGTGTTCATAAAGGCTACTGGTTGGTCCTGACTCATTGTGCAAATATAGGTCTACAATAAAGACTTTCAAGACATTAAAATACTGAAAAAGTATAAAGTAACAAGTTCTATAAATTTGTGAGCAAATAACACTCCCTCTGGTGACTTTCTATACTTTGAAGTATAATGGTCATTTAGAACTAATGACTATCTGAAAGAAAAAGGGAAGAGGTAGATTCTTGGCAACTGTCTTTTAGCAACATTAATTTCTTCCATTGGGGGAGAAATGGAAGTTGCAAGAAAAGGAATAAGGGGACCCAAATCACTTCTCTGTCTCCTTTTTAATTCCAGTTGTCTTCCATCTCTCCTCTAGGCTTTAACAACCCTTCTCTCAAGAATTCTAACTTTCTTCTCCCCTTTCATTTTTCTACTTTCTTCTGTTAAATGCTGAGAGGAGGATTCCCTTCTTACCTATTGGGAAATTCTTCTTCCCCATTTAAATTCCACCTCTTTTAAGAAACTAATGTTGGTATTGGTCCCAAATCTAGCCTCATATGTCCTTCTTCCTTCTGTTCTAAGTAAATCATCCAGAAGAATAAATGAATAAAAGTAAGAACAAACAAATATCATCTTAGGAGTGAATTATAAAATTATGAATAGTGTTATCTCAGAACATTCAAAAGATTTTAGGTGGTATATATGACCTGAATTTTGAAATTCATGGAAAACCTATCCAAATGTAAATAATAAAAATATTTTATTAAAGGTTGGTTACATGTGAGATATAACCTTAGATTTAGACATTAATTAATAACTGAGATGTGATCCTTTTCCTATAAGAGCTCCTTGTACAGAGGTACTGATAAGCACACAAAAGGAAAAGCAGCAGATGGAGACTTAACATCACCTAGGGCAGTGAGGGTGAACCCTTTAGAGCTTTCAACTATACAAACAGGCCCCTGTGGCACATGTATTATAGTTTTGCCACCACTGACCTAGGGTGTACCCATAGAAGACTGGTGTGATGGCTAATTTTAGCCACCAACTGGACTGGATTAAGAGACAGCCATATAGCTGGTAAAGCATTACTTCTAAGTGTGTCTGTAAGAGTGTCTTCATGATTGATTGCCATTTAAATCAGTAAAATGAATAAGGATCCTCTTTCACCAATGTGGGCAGGTATCATCTAATTCACGGAGGGCTTATATAGAAAAATAAAGTGAAAGAGAGGCAAATTTGTTCTGCCTTCTTGAGCTGGGACATCCATTTTCTCCTGACCTTGGCTGTTGGAAGTCAAGATGCTTAAGGATCCAATATAGCAGAATAGGGGGTGACTTCCTCTATATAAAAGAACCAAATCAGAAGGGCTGCATTTTGAGATGAGTGATGATAAGGGAACATTGGAAATCAGCAAGAAAGAGTCTGGAACTTTGTAAGATTCAACAGTCTGGTACAACAGCATAGTAATAGAAACAAATACCTTGGCATCTGCCACCCACACTCCACAACCAGGAAGTAGTGGAGTAGTGTCCGCTTTAGGAACAAGAGCAGTAAGTAGGGGTAAAAGATTGAGTTGTAGCAAACTCAAACAATGTGCATCCTGGAAATCCTAACTAGTAGAAAGTTTCACTATCCTCACAGGCTTGTAGTTCATTTAGATAAGGAACCTAAAATCTGAGCAGTAGTCTTGCT